GTCTGTCTGCCTGTCTGTATGTCTGTTACCGCATCACAGAAAAACCACTTGAGGGATTTTGATGAAATTTGGTATGGTGACAGTTATCCGGGTCAATACATAAGATACTTTTTACCGCGGGAAATTATCTCATTTTTGAGAAAAAAATACAAAAACTGTAATGTAAGAGTATATTAATATGTAAAGCCTAAGACTTTGGTTTTTTTGGTCATCTGAACGCGGGCGTAGCCGCGAGCAATGCTAATGATCGTATAAAAGTATATCTGAAGTCATAATGTTCACTATATTGTTGTTGGCAACCTTCCCCGGCCAATGTGATGGTTGTTTTGCGGAGCGTCGCAAATGACCTGTAGCAGTAATTCATCAAGCGCACATAATTTATTACTGTTTTACTGATAAATGAACAAAACATTTTCTACTTCCTATGACTATATATTTAGTAGATATACTTAAAAAGGTAGATTGATTTGTTTTTTAAATAATGGCAAACTAAATTAAAATTATAATTCTTAATTAATTTTAACTTTTTCAGATTACGCATAGATCAATTATGTGGTTGAAATAATCAATATTTTATTATTTTTTCTTTATGGTTATAAATATAATAATGGCAACACTAAATATAGATTAGGTACTAATTAATATTTTTAAAATTGTGATAATTATAATAATAACAGCTGAAATTAAATAAATAATATTCCATATTCAATTATAAAAGTAATTAAAATTATAAAAATGTTTAAAGTTAAAAATATTGTAAGGTACTTTGGTGCCATTTTTCAATTTTTTGAATTAATTTTGATATTTGTGGGTAGGCTGTCTGTAACAATTATATAATATCTTTGAGACATCTAACACAGTCTCTCCCGTGATCATGATTGCTGTAAAGCATTCGAAACGTCGGGAACCAAAAATCAAAATAAATTCGCCAAAAAAATCCGAAAAGATAGTTTTATTTAAAATGTGATATAGGTATTCGCGTAAATCTAAGAAAGTATTAGGTAGACTGATATAAATAGTTAAATATTATCATGAAAAAAGCAGTCATGAGGACTGCCGACAAAAATGAAAACTTAAAACTATAAACAAACAGTTGTTATTTTTGGATATTCAATTTGTTTGATCTGAAATTAAAATTTGTAAATTAAAACTGTTTACATTTATTTGGTTTTGATACCTGTCGGTACTCTTGAGTGTTAGCGTTATCACGCCACGTGACTATGTCGATGACGACTTACATGAATTTACTCCCCATCCAAACTTGCCTATAGCAATTTTCACTTCGAAAAAAAATTGTTTCTTATGAAATCTAATCTAATAAATACTTAATTAAAGTTAATGTAAAATATTATTAATCATTATATTTTTCATACATTTAAACAAGACCTTATCTGATCGTAAGACTACAAATAACACTAAAAGGAAAATTTTGTAAGCATAAACTAGGGTGTTTATTTATTATTATCTAACTTCACGAAGGCATCTGTCCGACGCGATTTCACCGCTTTTGCTGTCATGGCATAATAATTAAGAAGGAAACATTTATTACAAACTAGCGGCTCACCATCGCTTCGCTCGAAAATCGCTTCTTTCAAACAAAGACAAATCTATCCCACGGGAACCGTACATTTTTCTGGGATAAAAAGTAGCCTTTTTCAACCAATAGTTTTTGTGTACTAAGCTGTATAAGTTACTATAGTTTTTTAACCATCCCACGAGAAACTTTTTAATTTTCCGGGATGAAAAGTATCTTAAATGACAACCGGGGATACAAGGTACCGCCAAGCAAAATTTCATTTAAATTGGTCCAACAGATTCGGAGATTAGCCCGTACAAACAGATAAACAGATAAACAGACAGAGAAACAAAAAAATGAAAAAAATCTGGATTAATTCTATTTCTCTTCTTACATCCCCCTGATTCGGTTTTTAGCTTTTTTTTTCTACGTACAGACATTCGATCTCTACAATTTTATTATATGTATAGATAATTAATAATGATTAATTTTTTGGTCTCTCATGGCTTGTTTTTCTTAAAAACTAATTGGGCCGTAATTTACTTTTTAGTTAGCAACGCAATAAAAACTAAAATATATTATAAAACCAGCGACCCATCGATCTTTGCCCGCAGCATTTCTTTATTTTGGTTTTTTTCTTGCCAAACCTCCGGTTATTAGATATAAGTTTTATGTATATATTTTACACCATATCACGCCAATGAAAGTTTTATTTAAAAATATTGTAATAATGTATTTTATATTCATTCATAGTTAAAAATATCCGTATAGTACGTAAATTTTATCGTAACTGGTCACGTGTTTAGCCGTTACTAAAGCAGATACACTCGGTTACTTACGGGCTTGTAATATATGTAAGTATGTAATTAAAGTTTTAAATTTATTAATGTAAATATTAACTTACTCTCACTTCGCTCGGGTGCGTCCCTAGGTGCCTGACAAGGGCCTCTTTTCAACCGACTTCAAAAAGGAGGAGGTTCTCAATTCGACTGTTTTTTTTTTTAATGTTTGTTACCTCAGAACTCCGTCATTTATTAACCGATTTGGACAATTTTTGTATCGTTTGAAAGTGTATACTTCCAGATTGGTCCCATTTAAATTTCAAAAAACAATACCACCCCTAAGGGTGGAAAAATAGCTAATGATGAATTTAACCTACTTCTAATTGTCATATTGACTTGAAACTTTGCAAGTGTTTCTATTTCCGTTGATAGCACAGTGGTTCGGTATTGTTGACCTGATCTGATGGTAAGGTCAGAAGGTGGATAGGTGGAACTCTTCAACGGCTAATAGTAGATACTTTCAGTTTGGGCTTGTTTTGTTTGATTTGACAAGCCTAATACGTTAGAATTCTTACTTTGCTACTACTGTCTACACTAAAAAACTTTTTAACAAAAAAATAATAACTTGGCTAAGTAATTAAAGCCTATCTATTAAATACATACCTAATCAAATATTTTCGAAATCGGTGCCAGCCAATATAAAAGCAAAGCACACCGACTTCGAAAATATTTGATTAGGTATGTATAGTAAATGAAAACTACCAATCAGTTATTTTTTACTTTTTAGTGCTTTTGTTTGAAGTCGGTTTTTATTTTTTTGTTAAAAAGTTTTTATTTCCGAGTGTAAACTGCAATAAAAAGTTTTTTTTACAAAACACATTTTTATCGGAAAAAATAGCACTTGGCGATAATGTAGCTTCTTATTAGAGAAAAAAATTGCAGAATAAGATCAATAGATCAGAGATATATCCAAACAAACAGTAACAAAATTTACCTCTTCTATACATACATATAATAAAATTGTAACTAAGCCGAATCTGTACATTCAATATTTTTTGGAAAACCTTATTGAAATAAACATTATTATCGATACAGAGGCCGAATCTATAGTTTTCAGAATTTTTATCTGTCTATCTGTCTGTCTGTTACCGCATCACAAAAAAACCACTGGAGGGATTTTGATGAAATTTGGTATGGTGATAGCTGGTTATCCGGGTCAACATATAGGATACTTTTACCGCAGGAAAGTATCTCATTTCTGAGAAAATATACAAAAACTGCAACGTGTAAGAGTATACTAATATGTAAAACCTAAGAATTTGGTTTTTGTTCATCTGAACGCGGGCGGAGCTGCGGGCAATGCTAGTTATAATATATTAGTGTAAATTAATAGAAAACATTATATTAATCAATACATGCAGCTCTTTAGCGTTATTGGGGCCTCAGACCGCCGCAGTGACGTCAGGACGCGTGCCGTGCTGGCCAAACGCCAGCTCCAACGAGACGGCTTGTGATTGTCATCAGTCCCAATGCCCCTGAGTTGCCTTGTAAAATACTTTCCTAGTAAAATCACTGCAATTGACTTACAGTATCAACAAGAGAAAGAATTTTAAATTTTATTTTAAAACCAGAATTGCCCGCGGCTCCGCCCGCGTACAGATGACCAAAACTCAAATTCTTAGGTTTTACATATTAGTATACTCCTACATTGCAGTTTTTGTATTTTTTTCTCAAAAATGAGATATTTTCCCGCGGTAAAAAGTATCCTATATGTTGACCCGGGCAACCAGCTATCATCATACCAAATTTTATCAAAATCCCTCCAGTGGTTTTTCTGTGATGCGGTAACAGACAGACAAAAATTCTAAAAACTATAGATTCGGCCTCTGTATCGATAATAATGTCTATTTCAATAAGATTTTCCAAAAAATATCTAATGTACAGATTAGGCTTAGTTACAATTTTATTATATGTATAGATAAGTATAGAAAATAAATGATGTATATCAAAATAACCACCTGCATACATACAGATGGCCTGTGGAGTTTCATCGGCTTGAAAGCCAGTACTATCCACTAAAACCCAACAAAACCTTCCCCGTCGTAATGGGGCGTCCCAGGATCATTTATGCACTCAACCATAAAGCCTACGGTTGAACCCTGGTGCCAGGGTCCAAATAAAACTTGATTCGATTTTTGGGTTAGTTTAAGGCTCGTAGTAGAGGCACGCTAAGTTTAACGCTCGTATGTTAAACCATTTTTATTCAAAATAAAAACTAAAAATTGTTTAATATACATAATATGTACTTATCTTTATTACTTTTGGTTTGAATCATATAAATAATTTTATTAGAACGAAAACTAATAAGATTATTTATACTCTTAAAATATTGAACCCATTTGCGTCTAGAGGTACTTACGAAGGTGCAGACTATAAAACGTTTTAAAGACCACTTGTAGGCCTTCACTGTTACAAGGCTGTTGATATAACAAAGAATCTTGCGGAAGCTATAATATAGACAGCTGGACACGCCCGAGGCTATCTTCTGCATATAGCAGTCACATATTTTACTTACATACAACTGTTTAAGAACCACAGAATTTCATATTTTATTACTTTAGCATAAAAAAACTTTCTTTTTCTTCCATATATACTACTATGTACATTTTTAATTATTTATTATAATATAAACATTGTTGTAGATAAGCATATTCGTCAAAGCACTCTAGACAAACTATGGAACAAGCAATTCGGAGCTATACAAATGTTATTGACCATACTGGAGGTAAATATTACCAGTTATTCAGATAATTAAGACACATAATATCGATTACGATGTTATCAAGCTAGTACTATTTATTGCAGAACTCAAGAGACACGGCAACGTCGACTTATATCACATCAATATTGCGGGAAGCGTTATGCTTAAAACAGGGGAAGGGTAAAAAATGTTCAGGTAAATAAATAAACATTATAAATTAAATACATGTAGTACAGTAAAACACATAAGAGAACTAGATTCATTATGAAATTGATTAATTAGTAGCTAATGAAGCAGCAGGGGTCAAGAAAAAAGAAAATAAAAAGACAGGCAAAGAGAATAAGATTCCCGTTCTAAAAAAGGGTATGTCACTGTGTGGCGCTTAAAAAATTTGCTTAGTAACACGCTTTCCAATCAAAACTTTATTAACATTTTTGTGAAAAAATATATTATGTCTGCAACATTTATAAGTGAGAGCACTGCCATTTTAATATATTTAGAGCAGCACCAATAACTAAAACTTCACGTGTCATTCAATGCTAACATACGAATATGTGCAATATATAATAATGTTAATGTCGCCTACTGATATTTGAACATATTGCATCTTGACCAAGCTGACATTGGACTAGTTAAATACAAGAGATATTACATCATCATCCCATTTGATTAATCGACTTATTAAATACGTAACAAACGGCAGAACATTTTACTTTATACATAAGAAGAGCTATTTGCCTACCACCTTGAAACTTCTGCTGATGCTGTGATATATGAGAATATATTTTTATTTATTACGTTTTAATCTAAAAAAAGTACCTATTTATTATAATTGTAGCAAACAACATCGCCAGACAGCAGTGTTCTCAACACTTCATATCATTGAACGGTACTCAGATCGTCATCAGAACATTGCTCGCTACTCACAGTAAGAGGGATAGCAATGTGAGCACAGAGTTAATGCTGCAAGATCTCGTTTGGATACTTGCTGCATTAGCACCTAAAGGTAAAAGATATTAACAGCTCCACGTAAATTTCTAAGAAATTAATTAAATTTCTAAGAAATCTCTTGTTAACTGTAACGCCGGCGTGTCCGCGGTCGTTCAGGGATTAAAAGATCAATATTTTGAAACTGGAAAATTAAAACTTGGCAGACATTTATTAAAAATAATCAACTAATTAATAAGGAAGAAATATATATTATTTATATTGTATATGTATAATGTTTTAAAGTAAAAACAAGTATAAGTAGCTATGTGGTTGTATTTTTAAGTATAACAAATAATGTTTAAACGTATTTTCAGATCCAAAATTTGCGATGAAAGTTAGAATGTTGGGATGTGTTAGGACAATACATCTTATACTAAAAGGACATTTTACAGATAATAAATTAATTTTCCCTTTACTCGTTATTATGAAACAACTTGCAAAAAACGGTATGTATTGTGTGTATATCTTTTTTTCTTACTACAATGTTTAATGTATTTATATTTTAGTGATGTCCAATGTTTTTGTTTTACAGCTGTTACAACGTCTATTTTGATACGAGACGGTGTAATCTCAACGTATGAGAGAGTACTAGTAAGTCTTGGCTTCATCCCCACCGCCCGGCTCCGGCTCTGTCTCGACGCTATCGATTACTTCAGTAAAAACAGTAAAGTTGACATATTCTATAGTTATTATTATTTCTAAAAACACTGTCGGACTGTCGTTGTCAATATTGTTGATATTTAACGGAATCTGTTTTTGATACTATTAAGGGATTTTTTATTCGGTTTATATTTTTTATGATTATTTAAATAAATGTTTGTTACCACTTGCAAGTCCACTTTAGCACTTGAATATTTGAAGAAAATTCACGAATTTAGGCCACTATTTAAATCGTTTACCTATTCACAAATGAGCAAAACACTTTCTAAAAACAGGATTTTCAGATGAAGTTTCAAATATGATATCTACACTGTCACTAAATTATCCCTAAATACCATCTGGTAATCTTAGCAAAGTAACGTGTTATTCATTTCACCCATGCATAACTCACACAGAGGTATGCTGCATGCAGATCGTGAAGACAGGGCTCTGTAGCGTTCTCCTCAGGGTGTTCGACCGCTGGGACCGCTACGAAGGCCGCATGCGGCTCAAGATTTGCGCTCACATCCTACAATCTTTACAACACCTATGCAATATAAGTATGCGCACATTTTTTTTAATAAATTAGCTATTAATAAAATAAATTTTTACTCTAAAAACTATTGGGATGCTTATAAACCTAAACATAAACTTTAAAGTAACATTTTAATTAAATATTTATTTACCTTTAGTAAATTCATTTCTAGAAGCCGGACGTCGAGCTCTATGTACAAAAAAACATGTACAAACACTCCATAGATTTTGTTCACAATGTCCGGATGAGATTGAATTTGATGGACTTTTGGCGCGAGTGTGCTCCGTAATTACTTTGTGCCTTAAGCATCAGGCCCTGCCAGTGCCGGGGTCCAGTCCTGCCTCGTTTAACCTCAATCCAATTATAAAAGGTAATTATTAGGATAATTAACTGTAATTCTTTTCTAAATAAGTTAATATAATTAGCAAGTCCAGTATTAAAACTAAACTGTTGCGATAAAGTATAATGAAAAATAGTTTTATGTGAACTAATTGACAAATCGGATTAAAACAATTTTGTGCTATCAGTAAGTAAATCAAGTAATAATATTAATTTATGTAATAAGAGGTCACGTAACCATTCTGCAGTGCAGTAGCCAGTACGTCTTGACTAACAAAGTCACAATGTATAATTCCTTTCTTACATTTTTTTCAGGTACCAATACTATGTGGCCCTGCCACGAAGATGATGACGCGAATTCGGACTCTAAAACAATAAATTACGATTTAGATGATGATGGACCTGACAGTGATATCGATGCCACCGATGAGTTTCCCGATGTTGAACTCGAGGAAAATGAACTAAAAAGTAACGATGGCATAGAAAAACCTCATACTAAAAGCGGGGAAAGCTTACAAAGTACTTTATGGTTCAACCCAAATGAGAGAGAAATAGAAGACTTAAAAAAGTTTGTGCGAGTTAAATAATCCGTATTGTATTTTAACCATTGTTACTAGTTTTTGAAGTTATTTCTGTTTTCTTTTAATTATATATTTCCATTCCATCATTTTTTGCAGATACTGTATTTATTTTAAAGAATTTGGTTCATATAATAAACAAATAAGACAAGTGAAAAGTCGATCAAATTCACGAGGATCAATATTAGACGATATATTTGTGTCTCCTAGCAGTCGCAGTCAACCGTCGCCCTCAACTCTTTCTTTAGCCACAGTTTTAGGTAATACAGATTATGAAAACGTTTTAGGACCACAAACGTTTTCATTTCTCCAGGGATTTCACAAAATACATGAGAGTACCTGTAAGTACGCATTAGAGCTTCATAAAATCATTAATTTTTGACTTTGATTACAATCATTAATTTTAGTTCAGCTGAGTTTTCTTTCATCAATTCATCTTAGTATTTAGGTTTCGTTCTGAAGTAATGGTAGACTTATAAGATTCGGTATAAAATTGTAATAATATGTATAATGCTTAGCAATTTTTTTTGAAATTGAATTTGATAAACTATTTGTATTCTCGAAACGTGACATATTTATAATATTGGCTAATATACAGAAAGCATGCATCACTGATAACAACAAAGAAAGACAGGAATTATGGTAAGCTTGTAGTGCGTATTCACAGATGGCGCTGTTTAGGTTCACTACGATTAAAAAATCTTAAGTCACTTAAATTAAATGCAGGATGGATTTTGCTATATTTATAATATTTTAGCATAGACAGAGTGTACATATACATACTTATTTAATAAAATAGTTTGCGGAACAAAAATAGCCTGAATAATAGCTCTAATTAACGTTGCCCAATGTCTCTACTAGTTTAGGGGTAAAACTGATTTTTAAAAGATTACATTTTCTTCTTTACAGCAACTACTTCCTGTTCCTCATTAAAAATTCATAAAGACATATCAAAATATGTTTCTTTCGCAACTGTTTATTCAACGATCTCATCTAGAGTTAAAAGCATAATACCATTTGTCAAAGTCGCCTATCCTGACATGACCGGTGGACAAGGCTCCATACAACCGGAACCTTTGAATAAAATGGAAAGAACCGCTTGCAGGTAAATATCATATTGCACATATCAACACTAACGTCGAGATAATCAATTATAACGGTTTATTTTTATAAATGATTAATGTATGAATGAATGTCCCATGTTTAATTTATTTTTTCATAGACATTCCAAAGCTCCATCTTTAAACATTTTTTGTGTACGTATAATTACTTCGCAATGCCTCGGCAAGACAAGAGTTCTCTTTCAAATGTTTTTATGCTAAACTTTAATTAGTTTTGTTTAATTTGCAGAAGCAAATTACTAGCGTGTGTGGAACGAGCAATAAATCCAGAAGCTTATATGAATGAAGTTGTATATGACTTAGATGCTCTTTGTTCCGCTAGTACGGCTGCAGATGCTTCAGCACAAAAAAGGTAATGTTCTCATAACTGAAATGGTTTTACGTATCTTTTTGGAATTTTGTAAATTCAACGTAAAAGCAGTCTGTCCGTTTGTTACGGTCTATTTTTTTAATTTTAATATAAACAGCTCAGGAGATATGAAAAAAAAATATTTTATTATTTAGAACGTCTAGGACTCCGTGTATAATTTGTAGAAAATATTTGCATTTTTAATTTTTACAAAGGGCAAATTGGTGTATTGGAGATCTATTTGTCTTTAAGTTCTTAGAGTACTTTCACGACCATTTTATATCTATCTATCTATAAAATCAAAAAATATTATGAATTCTAATAAGATTATTCCATCTGTTATCTTCCAGTATAAGTAACGACAACTTATTGCTGAACAACACTGATGAACAAGAGATTACGAAAGTTAATAGCTTTTCATCACGACTTAGCTTCGAGTCAAGATTTGAATCGGGAAATCTTAGAAAAGCAATACAGGCATGTGCATACATTTGGGCAATACATAACTAAATAATAATAATGGCCTTTAAATAAAATCTATACATATAATAAAATTGTAACTAAGCCGAAACTGTAAATTCAATATTTTTTGGAAAATGTTATTGAAATAGACATTATTATCGATACGGAGGCTAAATCTATAGTTTTTAGAATTTTTCTCTGTCTGTCTGTCTGTCTGTTACCGCATCACAGAAAAACCACTTGAGGGATTTGGGAGGATTCGGGTCAACATAATTAGGATACTTTTACCCCGGGAAAATGTCTCATTTTTGAGAAAAAATACAAAAACTGCAATGTAAGAGTATATATGGTCGCGGGTCGGAGCCGCGGACGATGCTAGTGTAAGTAACTAAAAAAACAATTTAATATTTAAGAAAATCATTTTCAGGTAGGTCCAAGAGAATATGAACTAATTTTAATGCCAGACGTAAACTCAACAAAACGTCACCAGTGGTTCTACTTTGAAGTGCGCAACATGCAGCAGGGCCGTCCGTACATTTTCAACATTGTCAATTGTGAGAAATCTGATAGCCAGTTCAATTTCGGAATGAAGCCTGTTATGTATTCCGTGAAGGAAGCCGTTCTTGGAAGGCCAGGTAATTAAAAAAAATATTTTGTATTGTGGTCTCTAAAAAACCGCACATCAATGTTCACGTAATTAACTTTTTTAAGAATAAAATATACCTACCTGTATTACAAATATAGGAATATGAATTTAAGAATTTTATGTCGATCTGTTTATATTTTTAGTAAGATTCATATATGAGATTATCTATATACTTTGATGGCTTTAAAGTGAATGAATATATAAATTTGTCTTTCTTTAGATAGAAACATTCTTTTATAATATAGAGAAAAGCCGTTATTAACCAAACTTAATACCAAATTGAAAAAAAAGTTATTTTAAGGTTTTTAAAGTTAAAAAATAAAGCAAATCTGAACTATGTATATTTTCAGGCTGGGTTAGGACTGGCTCAGAAATTTGCTACTACCGCAACAGTTACCACTACGCTAATCAGAAAACCAACAAGTGCTACCTCACGGTTACCTTTAACATCGAATTCCCTCACACCAACGACGTCTGCTACATCGCGTACCACTTTCCTTTTACGTACTCTATGATGATGGTTAGTCGCTAATTTATTCTATTATTTGTATACCAGTGTTTTCCTGCGGCTACGCCCGCATAGTCAATTGTGTATTATATGTTTATATATTATAGCATACATGTTACTCTGATTTATAATCTGTAGTTTTATCGAAATCCGACCAATAGTTTTTACGTGCAAGAGTAATAAATAAGTATTCATACATCCTCACAATCTTTCGTAATCATCCTTTTGTTTAACGTTCCTATACTGGGCACGGGTCTCCCTTTTCTACAGGTCGGGTCAGACCATAGTCTATCACTCGGCGAAGTGCGGATTGTTAAACTTCATATGTCTTTCGAAAACTTACTAGTTTCTCACAGACATGCAGGTTTCCTCAGGATGTTTTCCTTTTTTGTAAGACAAGTGGTAATCATGTTGGAAATATTCGCACATGAAAATATCAGCGGCGTTCAACCCGGGATTTGAACTGTTTCACTCGGTTTCCCCAGCGAGCGCATTACGTTTCGCATTTGTAAAATTCGTAAGATGATACAAAGCAAAAGAGTAGGATAAAGTCAATATCAAATATCATATTATAACAACTAATTAATTGTTAGTGCTATTTATTAGTTGCACAATATCTTCACCATTTGTGAACACATTTTAATAAAAAAAATTTATTTGAATTAGTATATTTTTTTACTGCAAGGATGTTTCTGTAAAATTTTAAGAACTAAGGTTAAGGTCATTTTAAAATGATTTTGAAGTCTATGTACCTTTTTTGGTAAAAAGGAAATAATTAAGTGATTTTACTCGAAAACTTGGGACTGTCGAATTCTATAAGTTCTTAGGTAGGTAGGTGTCATAATTCGTTGGCTTACAAGGTTCTATGTTAATTTAATGAAGTTTAGTAATTTTTACATAGAACTTCGTTATTTTGTTATCGTAAAAAAAACAACATAGAACTATTAAAATTGAATATTTTGTAGTTATAGTGCCGCTATCTAGTGGTTTGTTTTTGCAAAACTGTAGCTAATAACACATAGAAACTTGTAGTATTAATAACTAAATAAGTAAAAATTGTAACATAGAATCTTGTAATAGTGAGCCAACGAATTATGTATTTCATCTAATGTGTGTTATATAAATGAATGGCTTATGTTAAAATATAACATATTCTAATATTTCTTGTTTGTATTTCAGACCAGAATATGGCAATGGAGTGCTCAACTACCTCCAAACACTTACTTTCGTGCAGAGCCTCTCTGTTATTCCCTAAACAACAACGAAGTACCACTATTGACAATATCTGCCGAGGATAGTCCATCTAACCCAATAGTGGTACGTACAACAGGCATAAATTAATATATTATTATTTAATTTCATCTTACATGTGAAAGAAAAAAAGAAAAAAAGGAAAGAGATATATGCTCTCTCGTTCTTTCTGTTTATCTGACCAAGTGCTATGCATGAAGATAAAAATCTGAACTGATGTTGAATTATTTAAAAATATATCCTTCAAATTAGTAAATAAGAAACAATTTCCCAGGACAGAGATATAATCTTCCTAACAGCCCGCGTGCACCCCGGCGAGAGCAACGCATCGTGGGTGATGGACGGCACGCTGGCTTGTTTGCTCGCTGCCACCACGCTCGCCGCCGCGCTTCGCGCCAAATACGTGTTCAAGATTGTGCCTATACTCAATGTGGAAGGAGTTGTTAATGGATGGTAAGTCTGCTTTTCTTTAATTTTAAAGTGCAATAAAGAATAATATAATATTAGACAGAAAGTTATATATAGTACGTACGGGTTGTGTAAACTTTTAGTTACACTATTCTATGGGTTTTAGGGAAAATAATGAAACAATACATTTAATGTTTAGGTTTATTAACTTCACCATCACTATTCTTTAAATTCTTGAGTTTCAACTTAAAATACTTAACTAGTTACGTCACATATACACTATCTTAGATCACTAAACCGAATGATATGTCCAAAATTCGAATCAAAAATTTTCTTACATTATATCAATATTTTACGGTTATTATGATAATACCGGAGATCGGACAAAAAGTTACATTCATCTCGCGAAGTCTAGGTACCTATATTTCGTAGAATATTCGTTGCAATATCCGAAGACGGAGGCAAGTCGTGTGATACGAGTCGCCAGCACCTTCACTAGTATAAATTATTGCCCAAAGATACCCACAGAATCCCACCACTCATCTTTAAGTGTATACTAAAACTAAAGTACATAAATCTCATTTACATTAACGTAATAAACATTGACGAAGCGATATCACCCTCAAAAGCGAGCACTAAGCTTTACACACGAATTGCTTTGAAATACCGAATAATACTTTTGGTAGTACATAAATCTAAATGTCACGGTTTTTAAAACGATCGTGACCGTCGAGTCGGGCGCTAATAGGCGGGGGGTGCCAGCATGCCGCTAGCGTGGACGGAGTGCTCGGTGGCGTCCGGCTCGGCGGTGGAGGGTGCGTCTTCGGCAGCAGGAGCATCACGAGCCTCTTGGGATAAGTATGCCGCAGGGTCGTCACCCGCCATACCCTCATCAGCCTCATAAGGCCCCTGAGTAGGTTCCTCTTTTTGTTCCTGTTCTGGCTCCTTGGCGTGAGCGTCGGCCGCTCGTGAGTAGTGGGAGTCAATTTGAGGTGGTGACTTGAGCAATGCGCTGGTCTTAAGATGTGGAGATTGAAGACCATCAAGGGATGACGGGCGCATCTTGCCGATAAGATCGTTGAGAGTAAAGTGCGTTGGAAGGTGCTCGGAGCGCGGTGGCGGTGGCGACGACGACGTGAGTGGGTGTGCTGTCGTCGTGGTCGTCATCGATAGCGGCTTCCTGTTAGACCGAACAAAAACCGACCCTCACATTAGAGAGTCGCTCCAGGTTACCCGTAATAGACACATAATATATTTATGCGGCTACCACTGAGCAAACTTGGTCCAATACATTTAACAGAGAAAAGTTATTTTACAGGAGATACCAAGCAAAGCCCCCTTCACCCACCCACCAAATAATTTCGTTAATTTTGAAAAATGTTAGACAATTATGTACATATATAATATGATCTGTATTAGTAAAATGCCAATTCCGCGGGGTGTAGGGCTCTTGTTTGGTGGTTGGGTTGACGCAGAGACCTTATCCCGCGGGCATACGCGCTTTAAACACTGAGAAAACTTAAGGTTTTTTTGTTAGAAAACACAAACCACTGATAAAATATTTAGTGCTACAGTACTACTACAATGACTTAGATACAATGTCGTCGAATGGACATGTTTGTATTAGGTGATAAAATTTAAGCTGTGCATAAAAATATAGAAAGTAATTAGCGCGTGGCTAGTCGGGGAGCGGGCCTCCGGAGACGGTTGGCATCTCACCTCGCATTACCCCTGCGCAGAGGAGACGGGAATAGAGCCGTAGTTGTAGTAGTAGCAACGCGTTTGTTCACAGATGAAGTCTTTTATTTCTCCACAGTGTTGTGGCTCCCAATGGAAAGATGGCGCCTTCAACGCCACACACCCATTCGTCATCACGTGTTCAGTTCTGGAAAACAGACTATTTTTTATGCAATACCGTTCATAGTACCAATGGCAATTAAAGAAAAATAAATAAAATAATGTTTAAAAATGCATCGAGATAGTTGATCGACAATAACTGATATTGAAATGAAGGTTCTGAAACTTCTTCAGTAGACGACCTAATGGAATTAGCGTGGTTTAATTTTACTATACTGCACAACCATGATAAGAAGTACGTCAAGTGCTATGATTAAACTATGATTCAAACTATACGTAACGAAACAATGATATTGGTCCTTTAAAGCCAAACTGAGATAAAGACCGTGTTATCTACGTACCCATGCCTCGCTGTGCGTTGGGGAGCAGTGCTGCCTTGGGGTACGTCCAGAGGATCCATGCTATCGTCAGCATGCTGGCTTGGGGCGTCCATCGTCATGCGTCGCATGTAATTGAACGTTGCATTGAAAGGCAGCCCCGTGCTCATCCACAAGTACATGTCAGTACCGAGATTGTTACCCGACGTCCAGAAATCATACTTGTTATAGCCTGCGAATTATAAATTATGTATTTACCTACTTGTCATAAAATGTAACACGTTGTTTTGTTCTTAAGTTCTAAATCAATCTTAAGGCTTGAACTTCAGTTTACCAAAATACTACACATGTAGGTAACGCAATATTTACAGCCATAAATACAAAGAATACTGACTGGTTAGTGTAAGAGAAAAAAATTAAAATCTTACCTGCATTTGTTAAATACGTTGTTATCGAATCAGCCTTCTCTTTTGTTTCAAAAGATGCTAGTTGTAAGCCTAATGATCTAAAATAGAAGAAAAATATTAATTAATAATTGTTAAAGTTTTTGGTAAAAGTTAAAAAAATAATTTTTAGACCGCTCTCTTTATCCAGTCACCTTGTGATTTATACAAAGTTTTTTTTAAAATATATAAAGGTTTTTTAGTAAAGGTCATTTAATTAATGAAATCTTCAATTTTATAAAATTGAAATTATTATGAAAAACTTAATAGAAACTACTTTTACATTGCTGACATTTTTGTTGTACGTAGTAACACTTGGTAACTCACTATAACTGTTACTAATAATAATTTCTTGACAAATATTAAAGCTACAAATATTTTTTGTAATAACATTAAACATCTTAAGCTCAGTGAGAGCAATTTTAAAAACTCCACCTAAAAAATATGATATAAAGCCTTCAGTGTAGGTACCTACACCGTAAACTTGCATAGAACTACATATATGCGAAGCCAGTTTAGCGAGCAGCAATTTATCCGCGAAACACTCGTTTTGGCCTTGCTGCGACGAGTCCACATTCCACATGCATCCCAGGACTCTTAAGAGATTAAAAACCTTATTGAAGTCCCGTACTGGTCCACTACCATATTAAGCCTCAACCCTTTTTATGATAAAATTACCACCACTTCCTTTATTTTAAAACCGGTAATATATAAAGGAACATATTTATTATTAAAAAAAAAGATATATTGAGCAAAACATCTAGATTTCGACAAATCAAAAATTCGTAGCGTCGCCTGTACGAATTCTGTTTGCAATAATAATTATAAGAAGAAATTCATGATACTTTCCCATAAATTACACACACCGCTTTCATCGCAAGAGAAAGAATGTCCTTTATATTCTATACACGTCAAAACTGCTCGCGCCGAATTAAAATGTAATAAATTATACCTAAGTGGAATTAATTATACAGCACTGCGAAACGATTGTTTTTCCCATTGTGGTATCTTTAACACATCGACATATTTCAGCACCATAACTGTTTTATAGTTCTTATCGTCATAAATTGTTTATAAAAGTAGTTAAATTGTCGATATTTTTTAAATGAAATGAAACAATATTGCTAATGTCAACAGTATGGAGTAGAATAAAATAAACATTTTCAGAATCACTGTTCATTTGTGCCGTTAGCCAATTTTTCTTTCCACTAAATTAGCCGAAGCTTTGCGTGACATGCACTTTGCATTATCCACGGTATGGATTCGCACACGACGCATGACACCTCGTCAGTCGTCACGCCACCTGTTACCTCGTTACGCTTATCACACGCATGAACCAATTTACTATATTTTTACTATATAATGTCTTCTATATAATGTACCCTTACATGGCATGCCCTTAATCGACTTCTAGTGTATAGTGTAGTATATTTGTCATTCTGAATTATTAATGGACTAGCGAGCAGCTCACCCTGGCTTCGCTCGGATTCGCCTCCAGACAAACAAAAAGAAATCTAACCCACGGGAACCAGGATATTTTTCTGGGATAATACGTAGCCTATTTGTTATTCAGATGCATGTGTAAAGTTTCATTACAATCCAATCAGTAGTTCTTGTGTGCTAAGCTGTATAAGTTACTATAGTTTCTTTTAACTATCCCACGGGAACTCTTTAATTTTCTAAGATAAAATGTATCTAAAATGTTGACCGGGGATATAAGATACCATCATGCAAAATTTAATTTAAATCGGTCTAACATTTTCGGAGATTAGCCCGGACAAACAGACAAACAGATAAATAGACAAAGAAACAAAAAATTAAAAAAAAATCGGAATTTGTCTTCTTATATCCCCCTGATTCGGTTTTTATCATGTTTTTATGTGTTTTATTATATGTATAGATTTGTTTATACATAGAAATTTATGTTCTCAAAATTATTAAATTCACGCGCTACGTTCGAGGTAATGCGACAACTAGTAAATATCTAGGTCGTGATGAAGCCCCAATAGAAGGACATCGTGACCGAGCATTGAGGCAAATGACCTTTTAGTGGTTTAAGCGTGCCCATGGTAAAATCGCGATCTCAGAATGTATATTAAATTGTTTACTATTTTCACTAATACTGTGTACTTGACAGAAATAATATTGGTGTTTTTGAAGTTGAGTAACTAAATATTGACGTTTACTTAACTTCACAATAGAGGACAATGTGCCACTGGAAAATATTTTATGTAGTGCATAAATCGTTCCCTATGGAAGTATATGTTTGTAATCCGGGAACCGTGAGAGCGGTGGCACAATAAAACCTCAAGCTCTTTGTCCATATTTAATAGCGGGAATGGCTTGCGGAAATAACTCGCCAAGGTGCCAATATTGTTCTCGAGTTTTCCCAGAACCACTAACGGTAATGCAAATGTCCCTACATTTCCTGGTCGCACTCGTGAGCCTCCGAAGCGCACTAGGCCTGCTTGTTAACGCCCAAGCAAACGTTGCTATGGCAGGACAACAGTAAAGATAAGCCGGATAAGCATTCCAAGTCACGACACAACTATTATATCCATCGAACGCGCCAGGAGAAATATGATACGATTACAGCAGAACTATGAGAGTGTGTCATCGTTAAGTACCTCGATGGTCGATTCGATACGCCATAATGTTAGCATTGAGAAATAGCCTTACCTGCAATACTGATAAGCGAGGAAATAGTTGAGCTCGGGGCTGTACGGATTCATCCGCGATATAAAGTATTGAACGCCATCGAGCTGTATCGTGGTTATCCTCTGGGCTGAAACAATAATTTTTAATATGAAATCATATTTTATCTAATAACAACACTATATTTTAGTGTTATAAATACTAGAGCATGACTTCTACCCTATGGTATCTATTATTTATTATTACAGTCAAACTGTTGGATCTATTTCGATTAAATGTGAGATCAATATGATTTTTAATAAGTTCCTACTTATTACAAACTTACGCTCCATTCAATATAATTTCTACGTCTACCGTCTGTTAAAAACAAATATTTCTTACACGAAAAGCGAAGTTAGTTTGGGCATAAATTCTTATATGTATCTAGGCAAATTCTTATATCTATAAATTTCTCAAATGCAATATATAAATAGTTTTGTAAATAAATATAATAGGTACTCAGGCGTCATATTTACAATGCGTCAGAGTTCAGACCCTGACAAAACAAAGGCCTATTTTTGTAGCTCCATGAAATAAAGGGGCTTCTTGATATATTCATATTTCTATTATATAAATGTTATTTATGAAAAACTTCTATTAAATAAGATGCAATTTTTGTACAATCTCACATGTCTTATTATATATACAGGACATAAAAGGAAAACTTATTATACGACAATCGTCTCATACATTTCTAAGAAAACCTGACCCTATTGTTATTTATAAATGCAAAATTCACTCGTTATTTATACAAATTATACTGTTGTAGGTATAATACGTGGCTTCATTTAAAATCTGCGGCAACAAAAACGCATGGTGCGTCATGAATACGTACGAGTCCGGTCGCAGCGTCCTGCGGTCGGGGCACGGTTTCGATATTACGTGCATAATTAAATTCATTGATCAGCTTCTGTTGCGGCTGACCGCGAATATATATATATATATATATATATATATATATATATATATATATATATATATTTTTCTAAATAGAATTATAATATTTTTACTTTTAGGATTCCGTAGCTAAAGGGTCCAATCGGATCGGGTTTATGGTCCTGCGTCATATTTTAACGTTATATAGCCCTCGTTGTGGCAGTGTGACTCGCATCTCTAAATCTCTGAGTATTTAAAAAATTGCAATATTTTATATATTCACAATAAATGCAATACCTTGGGGAAACCTAATCATTGTTAGCAGTATTTTCTAAAGGTGCGCTTTATCTAACAGGGCTGTGACATTTTTTATAAAATATGCAATGCAAGCATTAACATGTCTATTCTGGAACTGAAACCACGTTTTGACACGTGAAAAATTTTTCCTTTCTTTTCTTTAAACGTACCTAAAAAGATAGTACCACCTATTGATAGAGATAGTTACACTTATATCCCATGGAAAGGAATACTGCGATATAAAGTCCCTGTGTTCGTCCAAAACATGGCCTACCTTTTCCCCCTTTTAATGTCCTATTGATGGGCATGCGCCTTTTCAATGCGAGAGGCATTAGACCAAAGTCCACCATACTGCCCAAAAGCTGTTATACTGACTTCTTATGTCTTGAAATCTAAGATTAGATTCTTTCAGACTTAAACTTTACTCATGACGATTTCCTTCAATGCATCAGAAAGTGGTAATCAAGTCGAAAAATGATTTACACATAAAAAGGATTTGATCCCATTTTATTTACTATTCTAAAAGAGCGCATTCTTATCTTCATAATTATGTATGTACATTTATAAAATTAATGGGATCAACATATAAATTCTTTTATAGAAATCTTATGGAAGTCTTTCTTCAGTCTTATGGAATAATAAGCTCATTACCATGAAAGCTTACGGTCATTACACCATTGAAAGTGCATTGTCATTGTCATTCACCTTAAACTCTACACATACTGTCTACTTATTTCAAATGTTATGTCGCTATTATCGTTCGTCGCAACGTCTCCGTGCTTGAACCTTGGTCATTATAGCTAGGTAACAGAATATAATAAAACCAGCTCTACGTAATAAGATAGGTACCTATATCATGATTTATGACCTTAGACCAGTTTAAACAAGAAAACTAAATTTACTGACTATTCTATTAATAAATAACGTCAAAGTTTAACTATTTCCTTTTAATATGAATCGTGTTGAAGCTTACAAAAGCAATATAAATTAAATTAATTGAATGCATCCTGCGCCGTGTCGATACGCAGACGAAATGGACGCGGAAGTTAATCTGCATCCGTCTCATTTGCATACTATGTACTTGTATAATCATTAAGACCAGCGAATAGATTGGATTTAGATCCATATCTAAAATGAATGTATGTTACTTCGTTATTATAGACTTATACTGTTTTATGTACGTAATGATTACTGTTATGTATATTTATTAAATAGTTCTGAGTTATTTCAAGCCGTACCGTCCTATTACCCGACTGCACGAAGCCTAAAGAAAGGTTATTTATTTTGAGCTACATGTACATATGTGAGTGTGTGTGTATGTATGTACGTATGTATAAATGTATGTCAATCCTATGTTCCCTCGTAATTATTAAACTGCTTATCCGATTTTGATGATTCATTAATGATCAAAATCGTCTCGATAACGCGAGTGTCATACATGACGGAATGACAGATTTAAGACGCCGTGTTTGTGGAATATTTTTTTTCCAAACCTATCGAGTGAGGTATAAAAATCAACTTGCTTAAAAGGCGATCACAAAAATATAAACGCTATATTATATATATTTAAAAGTAATTTAGAATAAAAAATTGTTAAATAAAATTTCAAATGTGAAATTGGTTAAAACTAAAAAGCTGTAAATGAAAAATTAAATTATTAAAATAAATAAACCCGACTGAGCAAAAACGGAACTAAAAATATACAAAATTGTTGATGGTGGAACATAGTATTATACAGCCGTAGAAATATGTCCATAAACGAAGCAAGTCTCCAAGCAAGTACAAAACAATATGTCGCCGACTGCATAATACTATGTTCCTTCGTCTACTTATTTCCATCTTTTTAGTTCGCTTTTTACGCAATCGGGTATTTATTATTTTTTTATATTACAAAATGTGAACATTTTCAATTTAAAATTTTAAATAAGTAATATTTTTTATCGTTATAAAAATATTTATGTGTCTATATTGATACTATAGTATTATATCCGTTCGTTTCATTTACAGTTACAAAAGTCACTGAATTTTAAGTGAATATCTATTTTCTATACTATAGTAAAACTGTAGAAGTCGAATATCTGTACATAGAAAAAAAATGCTAAAAGTCAGGGGGGTGTAAGAAGAGAAATAAAACAAATCCAGATTTTTTTCAATTTTTTTGTTTCTCTGTCTGTTTGTCTGTTTGTACGGGCTAATCTCCGAATATATTAGACCGATTTAAATAAAATTTTGCGTGATGGTACCTTATATCCCCGGTCAACATCTTAGATACTTTTCATCCCGGAAAATCAAAGAGTTCCCGTAGGATAGTTAAAAACTATAGTAACTTATACAGCTTAGTACACAAAAACTACTAATTGGATTTTAATGAAACTTTACAATAATATAGGTTTTAAACTTGTAAACTTTACAAAAATATATGTACGGTTCCCGTGGGATAGATTTGTTTTTGTTTGTAACGTATTATGTACACAATATAGAGCCCAAAACAATAGTTATTTAAATTTTTGTCTGTTTGTCTGTTTGCCTTTTTGTACGGGCTAATCTCTGAAACTGTTGAACCGATTTAAATGAAATGCAGCATCAACTTATATATAGATATAAGTTGTTGTTGCATTTTTTTTATATAAAATATACAGCAACAACCTATGCACTTAATTTAGTTAAATTTAGCATGCTTATACGTTATATTACCGGTCAAACAAAAGGTTACTTTTTATCCCGGAAAAATGAACTGTTCCCGTGGGATAGATCTGTGTGTGCTTTTCTAGAGGCGAACTCGAGCGAAGCGAGGGTGAACCGCTAGTTTATAAATAAATTTAAAGCAATCGCATATCTCAGCTGCCAGATTTTACTCGTCTGTTTCCACAGAGTCCATGCATAATGCAACCTCATGCATATACAATGTATCGTTTTTATCATATTTTTACCTTCTCACGACAATTTATTTTCAAAATTAGATTTAAACATCACTCTAATTATTACATTTATCATAAAAGCATTCTAATTGCACGCTATTTATATGGCCATCTTCGCATTTTACGACGCCTTTAACGTAATGGAATCAAATATTTTATCTGTTTTGTATGTTTACTTTAAAATATTAATTTTTACATAGACAAAAATGACTTTCTAAGACCATATGTGTTTTAAAACAATACGCTTACTTAGTTACGATGAATAATATTCAATAACTTGGATGGTGCTGGTTTTGACGTATGGGGGATCGTGAAACTAAGACGCAGGTCACGTCTCGGGGGGTCGCGTGGTGCATACTGATGCGACGCCGCCGCCCCCGGACACGTACACACTCTGCACCAACCAGGACGCAACTGTCACTGCGATATAAAATCCGTATATGGGACTATAATTTACGATGACCACTTTCATATATCACACCTAATATCATGTATTTGTATGTACCTATTACAAAAGATAAAAGAAATTGTTAATAATAATTGAAATTGATGAAATTGTTAAAAATAAATAATAAAAAGATAAAAGAAATTTAAAAAATTTGTTAATTATTATTATTTTTAAGTTTTTGAGTTTTATAAAGCAAGAATGATGTTTATGTTCACTAGTAATAAGACGGCGTTTCTATGTGAGCGCTCACAACAGCGAGCTATATCCGCTCGCTCATCCACCGGCATGTACCGGATGTGCTCTAACGGCCCCTTGCCCAAAACTAAACACTTTGCGAATGACACATCGCGGAATACCGTGCGAAGGTGAACAAATAGTCCTACTGGGCACTGGCCTACCCAAACATAGCATACAGAAAAGAAATTGTTATTTTATATGACATGATTATAACGGTCCACAAATAAAGGAAAGAAAGTCGATTTTAATAAAGAGTGCAATTATAAACGTTTTTCGATAATATTTACCATATTTGAATGATAATAAGACATGGAG